CTTACATTGATTTTGTTTGCAGAAGTTTCCTGTAAATGCCATTTTTCTAGTTCACTGGCCTGTAGCTTGATGCTTTATGAATATAAATGTGCAGATGATCAATGAATATTGTCAGTGAACCAGAAAAGTAAAAAAAAAACACAAATCTGATTTCAGTTCACAGTTTCTTTATAACTGGAAAATATAGACGTTACCCAGCAAAAAAGAAAAGAAAAAGAAAAGAGAAATAAAATCTTTTCTTTAGTATTTGCTGTAAAAATAGAGGCTTCAGTTTCTATACATTTACTATATGAATATATTGTAAATATAGATATGGATAGGAATATATGGAAAAGCCACATGTCAGTGTGGCTGCAACTTAAAGTAGTATTAAACTCTCAAACTTTTTTCAATCATGAATGCGTATCAAACAAATATATATTGTCCAGCAAAGTATTTCTTTACATTTTCACCCAGGAACTTAGTCATCATGTTTCTGAACAGCTCCAATTCTCACAGCTCAAATTACCTGAACTTCCTGTCCAGTACAAGATCACAAGGGACAAAGCAGTCTCCAGCAACTGTCCATCTAGCTTGCAGGAGGAAGGATTGGGGACAGGGGATGGCTTGCCTTACTGTACCTGTGTGTTTGTGGAGACACACACAGCTTACTAGCACACACAAGGATGGCTCATTAGGCCCTTGCAAGGGAAATGAGCCATCCTAAATCAGGATATCAGGGCCAGTGCTCAGTGGACCACCTGATTCTGCAGGAAACTAAAACTTGTAAACATCATGGACCAGCATTCACTGTAAGTGAGTTCATCTGCATTTAAAATAGCTCAAAAACACTTTGACTTTAATATCCCTTTAAATCAATAGAAACACTAAACTGGTGGAATCTAAACTGTTTACTTAATTATTCTCAACTAAATATGACATTACCCACATAAATATTTCATATTTAATTATTTGTAAGCAGTAGGTGGTGAGTGTAAGGCCAGCTTCGGAAGCTGGTTTACTACTGTTTTTCTGATAGACCCAAGTAGCCTACATCTAAACAGCAGGAAATCAGATTACATGCACAGCTGAATGAGAGAAGGGATACAACCCCTCTCTCACTGGTAACAGAAAAAAAATATGTTTTTTTTATTTGCCTTTGTTTTTAGACAGCAAATTAACATGAATGCACTTTGCATTTTACTTTTTAGTTTTAGTTTAATTCAATGCCAATTCAATGTTTCCTAAATGTGTGCATAATGATATAACATAACAGAGCCCTGTAGTTAAGAGGAATGTCAACAGGGCTCTATGTTTGTCAGTGTTAAGGTTACTTATGAGCTGGGAGACAGCTTATATTATCAGTACGAGTTCAGGAAGCTAGCAAACCTCAATGGGCATCTCGCCTTTGACTTTGTGCTCAAAGAGTCAACAACCTTGGAAAAGATATAAAGACGTGTTAGCTAAACAGTTTGTCTAAAAACGTATCATTCTATACAGTATATTCGGCCTTTATTTGTTCCTTTTGTTTACATCTGCAGAAGAAAAAAAAAGATTGTATGAATAGGACACAAAACATTGATTTATAAACTTGTAAATATTTAGCACTTTGTTTAAATCCAAAGTTTCCAGGCACCGCGGAGTGTGAGAGATGCGACTCCAGCAGTGAAATGTTGTGGTTGCACCACCCACCCCTCCTCACTACGTGCTCCTTCCTAACATGCCTTGTATTTTTTTCAATGAATGCAAGGTTTTCTGTGACTGTAGGTGATCCCCGCCCCCTCCTCTGCTCCTCCAATTAAAGAACGCTTTGCTTTTGAAAGACATCCAACATGCTACTACAGTAGCGGCAACACCTCTGCACTGCAGCACACCACACCCGTCATGTATTGTGGTTCAATGTGTTAAATAAAAAAGTATCATATCCATTTTTTCTTGCCTTAAGGTGATCAGACCAATCAAAAGAAACTGCCTTTAATGCAACATGCTATAACACATGTACATAGCATGAATGGACCCTAATTGTAATCATTACAGACAAATACTTATGTGATTGATCTGTTTTCTGTGTGAGAAACTGTAGAATGTGTTTGCAGCATTTCATCTGTAATGCACATTCTGACACATACAATGTCCAATAGAGGGAGCTCCTACTCTTTAATGCTTCTCAGTGAATGCAGTCTCAATAATGAGATGCTACCATTTAAATATACATTTCAAATAACACTCTCCCCAGTGTAGCAATCACATTTAGGTGAATTAAAATGGCACGTGTACTGGAGACAGCTTCCCATCAGTGTAAAATTAAGCAGTATTGTTTGAGAAGCACATAAGTCTTATTTCATAAAGCAAAGTGTATGAACTAATAGCAACCAATCAGAACACACCTTTCATTGCTCTGGCTGCTGCTGTTGTTACTGGACCCTGTACATTTCCATTTTTCTTTCTGATATCTTATTACACAATAAAGTTGATAAGTTTATTTTATTATGCATTAGTTCAAAATGTTAAACTTAGCATTGCTCTTTTTGTGCTCATTTTTGCACCAAACACAACATTAAAGGACCTTTGTACCCAACAATGCTTGAATCTAACAGTAATGTTGCATAGATAGCACAGTAAGATGTATGAGTGTACCTACAATGGTAATGCAAAGCACCACTGCGAACCCCAAAACAATGCATGCAAATGCTGACTTTCTAAAAGTCAATACTTGCATGGGACTGGGTGCATAACAGCTCTCTACATTAGAGAACTGGCAATACCACAGAATTCAGAGTGTTTAGAGGTCCAAAGCTGGGCTTAGCAGAGGTTAGTTTAGTATTTGGGAAGGGGGGTGGGGTGGGTAGCACCAAATACATTAGATTTGTGTAATGGTGTGTATCCCTTTAGCTTCAGCTGTTTCTTTTTCTAAACATCTTCCCTTCACTGCCCCCTTCATATAACACCCAGCAGCGCTGTGAGCGGCTGCAGTGAGAGGAGTATCTTGTGCCGCTTGCCTCACCCCCTTAGCTCTCTCCACCATTCACAGCTCTCTTATTACTATGTTCCCACAATGTATTGAGTTCTGTATATGGAAAAGGTGATTCTGTCATTCAGCTGCTCTCTCCTCCATTCACAGTACTCTGTTTTCTAATAACAAAGCCCAGCACTAGCTCTGCATTTGCTGGCTGCTGCAGATAGAAAATTCACATGGTGAGCATAATGTCTGGAGGTTGCAAGGGGGGATAGTTTGGGAAAGAGTTTTAGAAAATGAAGCCGCTGAAGCTAAGGGAATACACACAATTACATATATCTAATGGATTTGGTGCTTTATGAAGCCTAGCTATTGTTTTAATAGCTTTCTAAAGTAAAGGTTTGCTTAAAGTTCATCATCCTTTTATAAGGATATTTAATAGTAAAAAAAAAGCATGATGGGTACATGTGAAAAATGAGGAGTTGTAAGTCAGTATAGTAGGCGATTTTTTTGCAAATCGTTATCTCTTCTATTATTAAAAAGATATGTATATGCAACAGAGGACCTCAATCTTTGCTCATATTTCATCGCTGTAAAATCCATTTTTAGAATATCATCAATAAACAAATGTCATTGGGACCAGAGTGCACGAAAAAAATTATAATTTTACTTTCAATAATTCTTTATTAAAAGTTTTACATGAAAAGATTTGGAGTAATAGGTAATATTGTCGTCATTGAATAGCGAAACAGTACCTGACACTGAATATGGTCATAAAGACAAAAGACATGCAAAAACATCTAGAATAAAGATAATCAGGTAGGGATGTTGACTTGAACAAAAGGTGGATCTTTGGGTGGAAATAAATGTTAAACGCTGTCCCTGCAGAAGATATTGTTTAAATGTAAATGTCTATTAAAACTGCATACTATTATGTAGCAGACAACAGAAAGGCAATTTGCTGTGGAGAAGGTTTGGTGCATAGATTTGTGTCCTGATCACATTTTTGGGGCTAGTGGATATGAAAAACATATTGCAAAATCCAATTTTAAGTGAATCACCATAATTTATGTGAACAATATAGGAAACATAGGCTTGTATAGATCAAACTAACTTTATCTATAGTGACATGGACATATTGGGCTTACTTTGCTTCTTACTCGGCCAGAGTTGGGGGTAAGACACCCGTCCATTTACACCCGGTTGCCCATAGATTAGCATTGGGCATCCGATTGGGTCCTCCTGAAAAGCTGACAGGCGGACCTGATCGGACCACCTGTATGAAAGGGGAATTAGGTGTTGGATAATGACATGAACTTAGATGGAGAGAAGTTTAGAAATCTACCCTGTTTATGGAGATTTATAGGGGTTCATTTACTGAATTTAAGAGGGTTTCTCAAATGTGACTGCAAAAGTAGAAATACACTTTAACCCTTTCGCTGCCACCGGCGTAAGCCTTACGTCGGTGGCAGCGTGCCCATTTAAAGAGACTATACTCAATTGATTTCATTCTAATAATCCATCATAAATAGTAAACAGCAAAAATCAGTCCAATCCAGATAGTGGTTAGAGTAGTGATTCCGTGTAGCTGAATGCCCAAAGTGACTTTAAAAGTTCCACATTCAATTTCATATAGGCAATAAAACACCCTTCAGTGCTCCAGAGATAAGTGCCTCTTATCCTCATGAGAAAACCCCCAATGGATGTTCACTCACCACAATTATTGACTGTATCCAACAGTCAGAGCTCCCCCAATAACATCAAATGCCGAGGAATATAAGCACTCATTGTGCAGTATATCAAATGAGTTTAATAAAAATTGCAATAAAAATGTTTTACATATAGGACTAAAAATGCCAGCCGGTGAAACATAAAACAATATCCTCCTCTGTCTCGTATGACTCCCCAGCAGCATCCACGACGCTGTGCACTTTTCACCTCAATCAGATGAATATACAGTTGAAATACATGTATGGCAGATTCAAGTGCTTTCATTAGCTTTTTTATACATACTTGTCCCTGTGTTTGTAATGGTTCTAACCTTACTTCTTACCTTACTTTTTAGCCTACAGCTACAGGAGAACAAAAAACGAAACCAACGCAGAACAGTGTTCGTGCTCTCAGAGGTCTTGGCCTATCTCCAGATCTGGTAGGATCAATAAATATCCTTTATTTTATATCCTAAACAATTATTACATATTGCTGGTACAATTACGTGAATTTCTTATATGATTTGCCTTTAATCCTTGTGCAGTATTGAATAAAGAATATCCCCATTGAGGTGAAACCCCCCCTAAAAAACAGCATTCAGGAGTGCCTTCTTAAAGTGACACTAAAGTCAGGAATTAAATCTTAAAAATGCATTAAAGTACCTTTAACTATTAACAAAAATGTATTATTTTTGTGTATCATTGGGCTGTAGATCTTCAAATCATCTCTGAATTGGTAGCCACCCTCCTTCTGGAGGGTGGCTACTTTTGTTCCCCATGGTCCCTGTGTGTGTTGTAAAGTAGCCACCACTCCAAACTCACTCCTGTAATGGACTACAATCTCAATATATATTCGTAAACTAGACGTGAGATTGTAGTCCATCACAGGAGTGAGTTCGGAGCCGTGAGTACTTTACAACACGCCCTGGGACCAAAAGTATCCCCCCTCCAGAAGGAAGGACAGTGTCAGCATGAATTCAGAGATGGTTTGAGGATCTACAGCCGAGTGATACACAAATAAGATACATTTTGTTAATAGTTAAGGTGCTTGAATGCATTTTTAAGATTTAACTCCTGAGTTTAGTGTCCCTTTAATGTTATGCAGCTGCTGCTCTGCTTCCCTCTGTAAAGCGATCCACTGCGGATCAATTTTTAGAGGGGCGATGGAGTCTGTCGTCTATCTGAACAAGGTCTTGCTATAGCCATTTATTATGCCTTTTAGGCAGTAATAGCTGTGCAGTTATCTTCAACGCTGACACTTGTGGTTGGCGGCATTGCTTCCTCCCTCCTGCTCCCTGGCCCATCAGGGTGTCCGATGGCTGCCTGTGAAGCCTCTAGAGCTCTCTAAGTGACGGCATTGATAAAAGTTACGTTGTCTTTGTCTGTGCAGAATAAAACACCATATGCAGTAACAGTTTTAAGGATACAAAATTAAAATTCTTAATGTTCATTATCCTTTCTTGGCAGATTGTGTGCAGAAGTACTAAACCTATTGAGATGGCTGTGAAACAGAAGATCTCTATGTTTTGTCATGTTGAACCTGAGCAGGTGAGTTATATTATTTCCTTGATTTGCCATTTATACTTAACCTACCTATGTAACTGTTGCCAGATGGCTCCACTACTGTATGTAAGTACATATCTTAAGTGTAAAATGATTCTTTGATTTTTTGAGCCAAATTTTACAGCCGGGAATGGTTAGAACCTGTCAGGGTGTTAAGTAAGCAAGTCGGGACAAAATTAGTTTAATTTCCCATAAACATTTAAAGTGTATGTCTGGGCAAAATAAAATAAATCAGTCCATCTGCCCAATACATGCACACTTCCCTATGTTAGGTACCTTTAAAAATGCTGCAAGTACAGGAAAATACCTGATGATCTGCCAGAAATCCAGGGATCTCCAAGCAGCCTGGGTTGACAACGCTACTCCGTCCTAGCTATAGCACAGTGAGTGATTGTTTTTTTTGTTTATTAAATCTTTATTCAATTTTGACAACAAATTTTACAACCATTTCATACGAAGTTAACATTTATCCATTCATCCCATACCACCCCAACCCATCCTATCCCCCCTCCATCTCTCCCCTTTCCCCAATATAGATATAGACCTCTTCGGCCACTCTAAGGACAAGGCGCGGGACAGTGTTCTAGTGATCTGACCCCCCC